CATCCTGTCTCCCCCTGTTCTTCACTTTCTGTGTGTACCGTGTGCGTGGCAGGGAACCTGAAGAAGCCCCCACTTGAAATGGTGCTCAAGGGGCGGGGCGCAAGTCCCTGGGGCGGGGGGGGAGGCAGCCCCGCGGCGCACGGGGTCAAGGGGCGGCGCGCAAGTCCCTGGGGCGCCTCGACGGGCGACGGTAGGGGGCGACGCGCGGGCCCTCGGGGCGCCACGACGGGCGACGGGAGAGGGGGCGACGCGCGGGCCCCCGGGGCGCCTCGACGGGCGACGGGAGGGGGCGACGCGCGGGCCCCCGGGGCGCCACGACGGGCGACGGGAGGGGGCGACGCGCGGGCCCCCGGGGCGCCACGGCGGGCGACGGGAGGGGGGGCGACGCGCAGGCCCCCAGGGCGCCACGACGGGCGACGGGAGGGGACAGCGCGCGGGCCCCAGGGGCGCCACGACGGGCGACGAAACCGCCGCGCGCTCCCGGGGCGCGCGGCGGGCAGGAAACCGCCACGCGCCCCGAGCGCGTGGCGGGCAGAAAACCGCCACGTGCCCCGAGCGCGTGGCGGGAAGAAAAAACCGCCGCGCGCCACGGGGCGCGCGACAGATAGGACAGCAGCGGAAGTGAACGGTGGGCCCATGAGGGGAAAACGTCCCGAGGAACGAACAGCTCTTAATACCATGTTAGAAACCTAGCTTAGGCTAAGAAGCCATGGCTAGGGTTTAGGGTGTTGAAGGTAGCGAGGGAGATGATTTGGCCAAAGAGAAGGGGTTTGACTAAGAAAGATGAGTACAAGATATAGCAAGGAGAAGCATGGTGTACCACCTACAGCAAATAGGATGTGCTACACTCTACACTGCAGACAATTATAAAGAACATATATAAATATATTTCAACACTAGTGTAGTACCGTCATCGCCCGGATAGTAGACATATATGTCTTATCTCGTACACTATAAAAAATGCTTGGGTTATCTTGTATTTGGGATGGTTTAGGGTGTCGTATAAGTCCTATAAATGGAAACTTTCTAAACTACTTAGATTTTTTTTCACATATCTTGAAAAGAGTTTCTCATAATGAGTGTGGATGTTGCGAAGGTGCCACTTCGGCAACCATTGTTCGGGAAGCCACGTCATGGAAAATACTTGCAGAGGCAACTTTGGTAGTACCTGAGTCAGCCCGTGGAAAAATTCGCGCATCGCAAAGGTAAAAATGTACGCGGTATTTCAAGTTTCACTATAAAATATTGCAGTTTCGATTATAAGACACATATGTCTTATCTCGTACACACAAATAGGTGTCTTATAATGAGGCTAGCCTGTTTATAAGAGACATCTGGATAATAGACAACCCCTGTCTACTATTCAACACTGTCTACTATCCGGGCGATGACGGTATCATCCTATTGCTTGTCAGAATGTGTAGTTTGTCTAGCCTGCAGTGGGGTACTCTATAGTGAGTACGGCCCCTTAGGGTTTCCTATATGTATCCACCTGCTTGCTAGTGCAACCCCCTTTTGCCTATTTTCTCTTGCGTAGCTAGCTAAATTCTAGCTATGGCTACTCGTTCTGCGTTCGATCCCAACCTGTGGGCCCACCCTAAGCTTCCGCTGCTTTCGTGTCTCAGGGCACGCGACGGTTTTCTGCCCGCCGTGCGCCCCGAGGCGCGCGGCGGTTTACTGCCTCACGCGGCGCCCCGGGGGCCCGCGCGCTGCCCTGCCCGTCGCTCGTCGCGACGCCCTAGGGGGCCGCGCGTCGCCCTGCCCGTCGCCCGTCGCGGAGCCCTGGGGGCCCGCGCGTCGCCCCCCCATCCCGTCGCCCGTCGCGGGGCCCTGGGGGCCCGCGCGTCGCCCCCCCATCCCGTCGCCCGTCGCGGAGCCCTGGGGGGCTGTGCGTCGCCCTGCCCGTCGCCCGTCGCGGCGCCCTGGGGGCCAGCGCGTCGCCCCCCCCTCCCGTCGCCCGTCGCGGCGCCCTAGGGGGCCGCGCGTCGCCCCTCCCGTCGCCCGTCGCGGCGCCCTGGGGGGGCGCGCGTCACCCCTCCCGTCGCCCGTCGCGGCGCCCTGGGGGGGCCGCGCGTCGCCCCCTCCCGTCGCCCGTCGCGGCGCCCTGGGGGCCCGCGCTGTCAGAATGTGATGTTTGTCTAGCCTGCAGTGGGGTACTCTATAGCGAGTACAACCCAATTAGGGTTTCCTATATGTATCTCAACTGCTGCTAGTGAAAACCCCTCTTTCCTGTTTCTGATTCTTGCCTAGTGTTTCGACATGGTATCAGAGCAGGTCGAGCCTCCTGGGTCGATCCTGTGGGTGGGCCCCACCCGATGCTTCCGCTGCTCTACTACCTGTAGCGCGCCCCGGGCACGTGCTGTTTCCTGCCTGCCGCGCGCTCCGGGCGCGCAGCGATTTTTCTTCCCGCCGCGCGCTCGGGGCGCGCGGCGGTTTTCTGCCCCGTCGAACCGCGCGTCGCCCCCTGTCGACCGTCGCGTCGCCCCCCGTCGCCCGACGCGGCCCGCGCGACCTGCGCCAGGCCCGCGCGCGGCCCGTACGGGCTGCGCCAGGCCCGCGCGCGACCCGTACGGGCTGCGCCAGGCCCGCGCGCGGCCCGTACAGCCCGCGCGCGGCCCGTACGGGCTGCGCCAGGCCCGCGCGCGGCCCGTTCAGCCCGCGCGCGGCCCGTACGGGCTGCGCCAGGCCCGCGCGCGGCCCGGGCAGCCCGCGTGCGGTTCGTCCCGAGCTTCTGACCGCGCCCCACCCCCGCTGCTGCCCGCGCTCCTGTGTTAGGGTTTAGGGGTGGAGAGTATGGGGGTGCCGGGTGTGTGAGCCGTCCCCTGCTCCTCCTCCTCCTCCGTCTCCCACTGCTGCAGCTGCCGCTGAGGGGGGTGGATGTGTTGGAGCCGTCGGAGTGGTACGAGGGGGGTGGCGTGTGAGCAGTGCTAGAGGTGCAGCAGGGAGTGTGTGAAAGGGGTGTGGGACAGCTGGGGGAAGTTGTGTGGAGGCAGTCGTCTTGTCGTCCGCAGCGCCTGAAGTCCAGAGAGCCACGACCCCCTGTGGCCGTGTAGTCCGGGGCTCTGCGCCCGGTAGCCACAGTGTGAGCACTCCTGGTATCCAGAGAGCCACGACCCCATGTGGCCGTGTAGTCCGGGGCTCTGCGCCCGGTAGCCACAGTGTGAGCACTCCTAGGAGCACAGCGAGCCAGCTGCGCCTGTCGCCGTGTAGTCCGGGTTTAGCCTGGTAGCGACAGTGCTGCGCACTCCTGTTGCCCGTGTGTCTGCAGCTTCAGCCGTCGTCTCGCATCTTCTCGCCCCCACCGTTTCTCCTCCTCCTCACTTGCCCTCTGTGATAGCCTCTAGCTTTTCTTATCCTTGTGAACTATTGCTCTGCTTGTTTGTTGTGTTGATTGTACCCCACTTTGACTATGGGGGTGTGTCAGAATGTGATGTTTGTCTAGCCTGCAGTGGGGTACTCTATAGCGAGTACAACCCAATTAGGGTTTCCTATATGTATCTCAACTACTGCTAGTGAAAACCCCTCTTTCCTGTTTCCGATTCTTGCCTAGTGTTTCGACACGCGCGCCGCCCCGCTTCCGCTCACACGCCGCCCCAGCTGCTGCCCGCGTTTCTGCCCTGCGTTGGGGGTATGGGGGTGGCGGGTATGGGGGTGGCGGGTGTGTGAACCGTCCCCTCCTCCTCCTCCTCCGTCTCCCACTGCTGCAGCTGCCGCTGAGGGGGGTGGGTGTGTGGGAGCCGAAGGAGTGGTGCTAGGGGGGTGTCGTGGGAGTGAAGCTAGGGGTGCAGCAGGGGGTGTGAACGGGAATTTTGGGACAAAGGGAGAGGTTGAAGGGGGGTGGCCGCCGTGAAGCCAGCAGCTCCAGTCGCCCGTGAGACTGGTTCGCCAGTCGCCCGTGAGCCCGTCGCTTCAGTCGCCAGTGAGCCCGTTGCTCCAGTGGCCCGAGAGTCAGTTGCTCCTGCCGCTCGTCTAGCCGCGGAGCCAGTTACTCCAGTTGCCCGTGTGCCAGTTGCTCCAGTTACCAGTGTGCCAGTTGCTCCAGTTGCCCGTGTGCCAGTTGCTCCAGTTGCGCCGTGTGCCAGCAGCTTCAGCTGCCGCCCACTACCTCCTCTCCTCTCATAGTCCCTCCTCCTCCTCACGTGCCCTCTGTGATAGCCTCTAGCTTTGCTTATATTTGTGAACTATAAACTGCTGCTTGTTGTGCTGATCATACCCCACTTTGACTATGGGGGTGTGTCAGAATGTGTAGTTTGTCTAGCCTGCAGTGGGGTACTCTATAGTGAGTACGACCCCTTAGGGTTTCCTATATGTATCCACCTGCTTGCTAGTGCAACCCCCTTTTGCCTATTTTCTCTTGCCTAGCTTGCTAAATTCTAGCTACCGTATGGCTCCTCGTTCTGCCTGCTATTTTGACATTGCTCTCTAGGTGGTGTAGTACCTTCCCTAGCTTTACTATATCGTGTATCTCTTCCCATATTGCAATCTCTCTTTGGCCAATCCTTCTTCTCCATGCTTCTAGGCCAGGGTTTCTCCTAGTCGTTGCTCCTTATTCTGACACTTACCCTAGGCTTAGGAGCAACTTAGGCTAGGATCGAGAGTAACGTGAGTGTCAAGAGTTGAGAGAGAGAAGAGGGTTTCACTATGAAAACAAAGTACAAGATATAGCAAAGGGAAAGGTGGCATGACGAGGTACACCACCTATAGAAACAAAATGATACTACACTAACAGTCTAACATGCAGTCACATACATATATAATCTGACAGAACGCCACATTCCTTGAGAACGGTACAGCCCGTTCCTCTGCGGTTCCACCAACACACTAAGGGTTGCCCGTGTCCCATCCTACTTACTGGCCTTTTTCTTCTTCTTGAAGAGGCCTGCGATTCCACCCGCGATTTTCTTAGCAGCCTTCCCCACCCCTTTCACTGCACCATTGGCTGCACCACCCACAGCCTTCCCAACCGCCTTCCCTGCCTTCCCCACCCCCTTCACTGCAGCCTTAGCACCCTTCCCAATCGCTTTCCCAGCTACCACCACCCCCTTCTTGATCTCCTTGTATTTCCCCGCCGCCGCATTCAGCCCCATCATGAGCGGTTTAGGCACCACCGTATTCACTACGGCGTTCACAACCTTGTTCTGCATTATCTTTCCTATAACGCGTCCAACCTTGCCGGATTTTTCAAGGTCCTCGCCAACCTTGGAGAGCATGGTGTCCTTGCCTCCCACGCCTATGATCGACGCAACGCCTCCTACTGCCGAGCCGCCCACAGACTCCAGTGCTTTCTTCGCCACAGCCTCCGCCGCCTTTTTCGCCACCTTTTCGCCAGCCTTTTTCGCCGCCTTCTTCGCCAGGTCGCTCCCAAGCTTTTTCAAGTCGTTTCCCTTACCTTGCGCGAGACCCCTGCGGGGTTCTCCGCGGATCTCTGCCGCTTCGTCGCCAGGCACGACTCCCTCGAAATCGTTGTCCTCGATACTGTCGATCTCGCTGTCCATTTCAGCGACCTGCAGCGGCGAGTTCAGGTCTGTCGCGCGGTCCTTGAGTGCGCGGCGCGGAAGAGCACGCGCCGGAAGCATTGACAGGGAAGATTGTGGCGGTACCCCCGGCGTCGCGGAGCTCCCCCAACGGGCCGTTGAGCGGAAGACTGCTTCCGCGTGCCCCTCGAGCGCAGTGCGCCGCGCGCCGACCGCATCCGCGGCTCCCATGGGCTGGTGAAATGCAAACATAGAAAAGGGCAGTGAGGTGCGAAGAGTGGCGGGGAGGAAAGAGCAAGAAGGGGTTGAACGAGGGGCGAACATTTCACGGAATGGGCAAGAGCGCACGAGACGAGGTTTGAGAAAGTCTGAATCACTCGAGTCCCGCGCAGTTACCGTTCGCGGAGAATTGGCAGGGAGGGGGGTAGTTGACCTTGATGGCGTCGTCTGGAGCGCGCAGCGATGTGGGCTCCGCGGCGCCGTGCAGAGCGGTAGCGCCGATGGCGAGATGCGCGGCGAAAGCGACGAAGAAGACGACGAGCAGCAGGAGGTGGCGCGTGAGCGCCATGATGGGCGCAATGCGATGAGCAGTCCAACGGCTGTGAGACGCGAAGCCTTCTCAGCGTGTGATGTGAACTTCAGATGCTAGAGCTTGTTTGAACGGCGCCTTCGTGTGAGCCTTCGTAAAAGTGGCACTGGATCACAAGTACGTGGAGTTGTCTTCCACTGCTGCTGCTTTTCTACCTGGAAATCACCACGGGCTTCGAACCCGCAGCGCGTCTCCGAGACGCGCCAGTAGTGGTAAAGCAGATTGGAAGCGTCTCGCCATAAATAGCGGGCCTTTTAAGGTCTGCAATGATTGTGGTTCATGGGGCAAGGTGGCAGCGCCTTGCGCTGAATTCCGGCAGCGGCTTGCGGAGGGCTTCAGCCCCAGATTTGCCAGCAGCACGACCATCTGCTACAAATTGAATGGCCGCCGCAAACCGTGGGAAATTATTTTGTGGCCCCAATAGATTTTCCTCGAATTCCATGTACGCTCAGCGGAGGAGGGAGTGAAGGGGGAGAAGCAGTGGCGAGATTGCAAAACAGTAACCGCGCAATTACAAGTGTTACGGTAGTTCCGTTCATCTCTAAACAGCACAAATTCTAGCTAGTTTGCATATACTACGTTTCCGTTTTTTGTTTCGCCTTCTGAGAGTCATAAATATGACTTCTTTATGTATTCGTATTATGTCGCTAGGAAATTAGCACGTCACATTATATGCTGTAGTCAATGCTCTTAATATGTGTATCTCCCTGAAAAACTGTGTAAATTTGGAGAGATACGATGACGCATGTTTATTTAAAATAGTTTTTAGGGCGTTGCCTTAGGCCAAAAACTGTCCAGGTATATAAACATACATAGTAGTAATAAAAAATCCAAAGATATTGTTGGAGTGTGAAGGGAATTATACTTAGCATTCCCGTAGGTGCAGCACTATCGCACCCGACTTTATCGAAGCAGCAACTACCGAGATATCGGATCAGCCCGTACCAAGGGCAGGAAGGTCAACAGTCGCAAGAGTCAACTGTCGCGACTGTTGACCATCTGGACCGACGCTTGACCTACCATCGAGGAATGGCAACAGGCGTAACCGTACAGGTTACATGCAGCGACTCGGTAACAAGAAAGGCAGCACAACAGTCAGAGTCACTGTAGAATTGCCTGTAAAACAGTTATAATAAGGGAATGTACCCCTTAGAGTACATGGCTAGACTAGGACTATTTATGTTCCTTGTATTCTATCTTTTAATTCAACTTGGTCATTTACATTCACTATGATCTGAGTTCTACAAGACTTCCGCTACCAACTCTACCAAAGCACTATCCTATCCTATCCAAGATTCTCACTCTAACAGATATATTAAACTGACTTTCTCTATGTCAATCGATTTTTCCGTGAAGTGTATATCCATATATCATTTTTTTATTGTCAAACCGGCACCATGCTTGATCGTGTAACTCACGAGGGGCGAATCCCCTCGTTCACTGGGAAGGAATTTTATCGGGAAAACTTTTGTGACCTACTACCGCCCCGGGTCAAACCTAGGGACCTCCCTTCCCATTTAATCTTCCATTCGGTTCTTCCATATGATAGTGTCAAGTGGTGGTGCTTGCCAGTGTCATAACATATATGCCAACATATATCTACAGGCTACATAGGTTCTAGCCTTAGGGGGTACATTCCCCATCTCGACACTCTTGCTTGTACCCCCCATCCCTGACCTGATCCATCATTTCCTACTCACTAGATTCTAACATGGAATTCAGAGCGATTAGGTCCTTAGGACCATATTTTAAAACAAAACCTACCGTCATTTCCTGCCCGAATCGCGCCCCTAGGCGCGTCTTACTTTTATCCTGCCCAAAACGCACCCTAGGCACGTTGATTTTTACTGCCTAGCCCCGCTGCCCCGCTGCCCAGTTCGCACGCCCTGCTGCCCATCCCGCGTGCCCCGCTGCCCAGTCCGCGCGCCCCGCTGCCCAGCCCGCATGCCCCACTGCCCAGCGCGCGTGCCCCGCTGCCCTGCTTGAGAGCCGCCCTGCCCGCGCGCGCTTTGCTTGCAGCTGCGCCCGGCCTGCGCCCTGCCCGCGCGCACCCCACGCGCACCCGGCCTGCTCCCACTAAATGTTTTTGCGGCAGACGCACTGTTGCTGCCCGATGGCAAACTGCTGAAACCACGAACCGACCTGCCTACCTGCACCGTTTGCCCGGAAGCTGCTCTCCGTCACACGCCCTTCGCTGAGAAGATTCCTGGAGCGGAGCGATATGAACCACTGGAGAAAGTCTACAGCTACTTCTTAATGCTCACGGCGAAAGGAGTCGGCGGGGAACAATACACTCTTACCTTCATCGACGCTGGCACACGCTTCGTCTGGGCCGTTAACGTTCGGGATCGCTACCTCGCCTACGCTTGCTTCGAAATCTGGCTCGCCATGGCAGAAAACCAAAGCAACGGCTACAATCTGAAGGGATTCCAGACAGACGGAGCACTGGAATACCTGTCGGACGACTTCAAAACCCTATGCAAGCAGAAGGGGATCAAGAGGATGATCTCCCTGCCTTACGCCCACGAACAGCAGGGATTGGCCGAGAGAACCAACAGGAGCCTCGCGACAAAAATGCGAGCCCTCATGAAGCAGTCAGCTGTGCCAACCAAGTACTGGCCCTACGCAATGGCACATGCAGTTCGGCTGCACAACATGCTCTCCTCCAAGGCACTGCCCAACAACAGCTCACCCTTCAAGGAGTGGACCGGAAAACACCCTGACACACGCATGCTGCGAGTCTTCGGGTGCATGGTACAGTACCGCCCTCACACTGCCCGAACAGGAAAATTTGAAGATCGCGCTCGCTGGGGCATCCACCTCGGAATCGAATCCGAATACCACGCCTGGACAATCCTGGATTTCGCCACCCACCAGCTCACGCGTTCACGTGATTGCATCTTCTACGAAAGACTGACTCTGCCACTGTACCGCCAGCACCGCACTGCACAAAACGCACCAGACAACATTTTTCAGGGACAGCACAGCTACGCCAACGACGAGGACGAGGTTGACGTGGCGGGCGAACAACCGGACGAGGCAGCAGCTGACGTAGCAGACGAGGCACCCTTCATCCCCGTTACGGAGCAGTTCGGCACTCCTGCACACTTCCCAACCAACATGGATCCTCATGAAGCAGCACAGGCACAGCACGATTATGCAAGTGCAGAAATGCACTCACCCATGAACGAAGACCCAGCTCGTGACTCATCCCGTGACACCTTTCGCGATATCCCTGGCGACGATGACGACGTGGTCGAAGTTACCACCACAGCCGAATCCAACCTCACAGGTCTTCGCGTCCTTGGCCTCGCTGTCGCAGTTCGGGGTAACCAGCAGCTGATCGAGCCCACCACTGTTCGCCAAGCCCTCAGCGGGCCCGATGCCGAGAAGTGGAGAGCCGCCATGGCCGCCGAAGTCGCTGCACTCCAACGCCGCGGCACCTGGAAGCTGGTACCACGCCGCCACGCAAAGGGGAGAAATATTCTTACAGGGAAGTGGGTCTTCTGAATCAAGACTCTCGCGGACGGAACGGTCGAAAAATTCAAAGCGCGCTGGGTGGTCCGCGGATTCGAGCAGACACAATTTGTGGACTACGACCACACATTCGCTCCCGTCGGTCGACATACCTCAGTGCGCATTCTCATCTGCATCGCCGCCGTGAAACAGCGCCCACTTCGCAAGATCGACGTCTCCAACGCGTTCCTCTACGCGATCGTCGATGCTATCATCTACGTCGAGCAGCCACATGCGTTCGAAGAAGACAGCGACGCAGTTTGTCTCCTGCAAAAGTCTCTGTACGGCATCAAGCAGGCACCATGCCTGTGGCAGCAGCATCTTCACGGCGTTCTCATCGAGCTCGGCTTACAGCAGCTTCCCCACGATCAGAGGATGTACCGCCTCGAATCCCGCAGCCTCTTCATCCTGCTTGTCGCCTACGTCGACGACCTTCTCTACACCGGCGACGACAACGAACTGCTCGATCGCCTCGAACGCGAAATTCAGGAGAAGCTGGAGGTCACGATTGACCACGAGGTCACTCAGTTCCTCGGCCTCAACATCACTCAGACCACGGACACAATTCATCTCTCCGCCGCGAAGTACGCCGAGACTCTCGCTAAGAAGTTCGGGATAGCTCCCGTCGGCGTAACCACCCCGTTCCGCATCCCTCCACCTCACCACGAGCCCGACACTACTCCGCTCTCACCGGCTGATCACCGTCTCTATCAGCAGCAGCTCGGATGCCTACTGTTCGCCGCCGTCACATGCCGCCCGGACTTATCCTACATCGCCAGCCAGCTCGCCCAGTACCTGCGCCGACCTGAAGGGGAGAACCTAGCAGACCTGCGCCGCGCCTTACAGTACTTCATCTCTATGCCCGATGTCGGCCTCACCTACAAGGCCAACTTAACAGCCCCACTACAACTCACCGGCTACGTGGATGCTGACCACGCAGGAGACGCAGACAACAGGAGGTCCCGCACAGGCTTCATTTTCAAACTTGAGCCCGCAGGAACCATCTCCTGGAACTCCAACAAACAAGAGCTCATCGCCCTTTCGTCAGCAGAAGCAGAATTCATCGCAGCAAGCGCAGCAGTTCGCGAAGGACTCTACCTCACGGAACTCCTGCAGGAAACGAAGACGGCGATGAACGGGTCCTTCAAGTTACTTTGCGACAACCAGAGCGCGATCAAAATCGCAAACAAGCCAGGCTTCGTCAACCGCACGAAACACATCGCCCTTCGTTACTTCTTCGTGAAGGACGAAATCGACAAAGGGAAGGTCCAGCTCATCTACTGTCCAACTGGCGAAATGGCAGCTGATTTCCTCACGAAGAAACTGCCACGTCAGAAGTTCCAGTACTGCTCGGACCTGTGCGGAGTCACTCGCAAGAGCCACGTGGCGCACCTCCAGGAATGAAGGGGAGTGTTGGAGTGTGAAGGGAATTATACTTAGCATTCCCGTAGGTGCAGCAGTAT